CTCTTGGCAGCCTCTTGTCAGGGGAAGATCTATGGCCACCGCCCCCGCGTGCGTATCTCGTGCCAGGTAAGCTTGTCCGTCGGTCTCCACGGTCTTGTGCCGGGCCAGCTTGTTTGTGGGGGTTGTGTGAGCCTGTATCTTGTAGACCTCGGCAAGTTTCCCTGCATGCTCTCATGGAGGGGGGGGGCCTGAACCTGAAGCAAGCCGCAAACGATCTGCACGTGCGGAAATCGCGCCAGTCGAAAGGCACTTGCACGCTAAGTATTCGCTTGAAGAGGAGCGAGGGGGGGGGGGGGCGGACGCCATGCAAGTAAACTTGCTTGATGATTTTTGTAAAAAAATCAGGCTCTGGTGGGGGCTGCAAACATCGCGCCCCCACAGAGATCCTGGCCGCTTCCCCAGGCGGCCTGGCAACGTGCCCCCAAGGACCGTGTCGAGAGATCACGCTTGGATGTGGAAAAACACATACCTCAGGAGGGGAAAAAACACACAGACATAATTGATCGTCGATTCCCAGGAAAAGATTGGAAACTATGGGAATTGGCGGGGGAGACAAAAACCCAGAAAATATTTGGAATCTTGGGATTTGTGTGTATTCATTTGTGTCTCTGGGCCCCTTCACTGCCGCCAGAGGTCTGGGCCTCCTCGCCTATGCGACCCGATCCGACGCGACTCGGTTCGCGGGCTGGGCCCGCGATGGCGTTTCGCATCGATGCGGTTCTCAACACCGCTACCCTTCCCTCGTTTTCTCCTCCTTTGGGCCTCCTGCGAGGCCCTCGGCGCCTCCGCTGGAGTCGCCTCGGAATTTACCAGCCTCGATCGTATCCCTATCCCAAAGATTGACACGCCAAAAGGCGATGACAATCTTAGGGATTCGCCCTCCAAAAATGAGGGAATTCCCAAGATCGGCATCGTGACGAGGCGATGCCGAACATAGGGATAGGGAGATGTTCCAGGCTGGTAAGGACTCGCCTCGGAATTCTGGTCAGAACGCACCCTCCTCCTCCTCCTCCTCCTCCTCCTCCTCCTCCTCCTCCTCCTCCTCCTCTCCTCCTCCTCCTCCCCCTTCCTCCTCCTCTCCTCCTCCTCCCCCTCCTCCTCCTCCCCCCTCCTCCTCCTCCTCCTCCTCCTCCTCCTGGGGAGCATAGCGGTATCGGTGCCTTTGGGTCTCTCCGGGTTCGACTGGCCGGCACCGGCCAGGGCCAGCCAGAGGCAGGCGCGGCGATCCGATCCCGCTCCGATGCGGGACGATTCGTGTAAGTCGGGCCTGCCCCTCGACAGGGGGGAAGAATCAAACATAGTTTTTTTTTTTTTTTTTTTTTTTTTTTTTTTTTTTTTGTTTTTTTAAAAAAAAAAAAGTATGGGGACGATTTTTTGGAGCATTTGGGGCCATTTTGTTGTATTTGTTGGGGGGCCTTTTTGATTTTTCGTTTAAAATCCCCCCCTGCAGGGGGATAGGCTCGACCTAAGATTCGTTGGCGATCCGATTCCGGTCCGATGCGGGACGATTCGTGTAAGTCGGGGCTGTCCCTCTACAGGGGGAAGAATCAAAAATAGGCAACAATTACTCCGACGGAAGGACCCCGCATGAGAATACTCTGGGCGAATCTGGAAAAAGCCCTCACCGTCGTCCTCGTGGTTGGTGAGGCGTCCTGGCTGTCTCTTCTGCGTATGTTTCTTCTCGCCCTGGCGCGGGCCCTCCCCCCGCTCCCTACGTTGCCCCCGACCTCGCCCTCCTGTTTTGGCTCCGGACATGCAGAAAGTGGCCCGGGAGTGGTTATCTGGGAACGCGAAGAACACGAAGTGGCCTACAGTTGGCTCCGGGGTCTCAAAATGTGGCCCGGGAATGGTGTTCTGGGAGCACGAAGAACACGAAGTGGCCTACAGTTGGCTCCTGGCATTCAAAATGTGGCCCGGAAATGGCGTTCTGGCAGCGCGAGAACCCAAAAGTGGCGACGGTTAGAGGAATTGGATGACCCGCTCGGATTAGTCACATGATCCGCGGGCCCCGTAGGGAGGGGGCTCCCGCTTGAGACTTCCTCGCAATTCACTCACAGATGTGGTTTGGGAATGGCGCTCTGCCAGCGCGAGTGCCCAAAAGTGGCGACAGTTACAGGAATCGGATGACCCGCTCGGATTAGTACAATGATCCGCGGTCCCCATAGGGAGGAGGCTCCCGCTTGAGATTTCCTCTCAATTCACTCACAGATGTGGCCTGGGAGTGGCGTTTTGGCAGCGCGAGAGCCCAAAAGTGGCGACAGTTAGAGGAATCGGATGACCCGCTCGGATTGATAACATGATCCGCGGGCCCCATAGGGAGGGGGCTCCCGCTTGAGAGTTCCTCCAATTCACTCACAAATGTGGCCTGGGAGTGGCGTTTTGGCAGCGCGAGAACCCAAAAGTGGCGACAGTCAGAGGAATCGGATGACCCGCTCGGATTAGTACCAAGATCCGCGGTCCCCATAGGGAGGGGGCTCCCGCTTAGGCCCAAATCAAGTGAGTGAGTCAGTGAGTGACTGACTGACTGACTGATGATGATGATGATCATCACACTCTCTCACGCGCGCACTCATCATCATCATCATCATCATCATCATCATCATCATCATCATCATGATCATGATCATCATCATCATCATCATCATCATCATCATCATCATCATCATCATCATCATCATCATCATCATCATCATCATCATCATATGTGAGTGCTGATGAGTCAGCGAGTGAGTGAGTGAGTGAGTGAGTGAGTGGGTGGGTGAGTGAGTGAGTGAGTGAGTGAGTGAGTGTGTGAGGGATGATGAGTGAGTGAGTGAGTGAGGAATGAGTGATGATGATGGTGGGTTCCTGTTCCTGCGCGGGGTGTCCAGAGAAAACAAAAACCCCACTTTGGATGTGGGGAAACTTACCCTGGCGACGTGCCCAACCCCTGCGCAATGCGGGGCATGAGTAGCTTTGGGGACGTTATACAGAGGTGATGGCGTGACATGGGCGCATATCTTTCTGCAAGCGGCATTCGTGAGGCTCGCAGCCCCCCCAGGGGATGCGATGTCCCGCTCAGATCTGCCTGGTGCCTCGCTCCGCTGGATCCACCAGTCGCCCTCGAAAGTGGCGACAATTTCGCAGATCGCAGCCCCCCAGGGACGGCGAGGTCCCGCTCAGGTCCGCTCGGTGCCTCACCCCGCAGGACCCACCAGCAGCCCTCGAAAGTGGCGACAGTTTCGCAGATCGCAGCCCCCCCAGGGACGGCGAGGTCCCGCTCAGGTCCGCGCGGTGCTTCACCCCGCAGGACCCACCAGCAGCCTTCGAAAGTGGCGACAATTTCGCAGATCGCAGCCCCCCAGGGACGGCGAGGTCCCGCTCAGGTCCGCGCGGTGCTTCACCCCGCAGGACCCACCATCAGCCCTCGAAAGTGGCGACAATTTCGCAGATCGCAGCCCCCAGGGACGGCGAGGTCCCGCTCAGGTCCGCGCGGTGCCTCACCCCGCAGGGCCCACCAGCAGCCCTCGAAAGTGGCGACAGATTCGCATATCGCAGCCCCCCAGGGACGGCGAGGTCCCGCTCAGGCCCGCGCGGTGCTTCACTCTGCAGGACCAACCAGCACCCTCGAAAGTGGCGACAATTTCGCAGACCGCAGCCCCCCAGGGACGGCGAGGTCCCGCTCAGGCCCGCGCGGTGCCTCATCCCGCAGGAACCACCAGCAGCCCTCGAAAGTGGCGACAGTATCGCAGATCACAGCCCCCCAGGGACGGCGATGTCCCGCTCAGGTCCGCGCGGTGCCTCGTTCCGCAGGACCCACCAGCAGCCCTCGAAAGTGCGACAGTTTCGCAGATCGCAGCCCCCCAGGGACGGCGAGGTCCCGCTCAGGTCCGCGCGGTGCCTCGCTCCGCAGGACCCACCAGCAGCCCTCGAAAGTGGCGACAATTTCGCAGATCGCAGCCCCCCAGGGACGGCGAGGTCCCGCTCAGGTCCGCGCGGTGCCTCACCCCGCAGGACCCACCAGCAGCCCTCGAAAGTGGCGACATTTCGCAGATCGCAGAAAGTGGCGACGGTTTTGCAGATCGCAGCCCCCCAGGGATGGCGAGGTCTAATTTGAATCTGCGTGTGGCGTCACTGTGCTGGGCCCACCAGCAGGCCTCGAAAGTGGCGACAATTTCACAGATCGCAGCCCCCCCAGGGATGGCGAGGTTTAATTTGAATCTGCGTGTGGCGTCACTGTGCTGGGCCCCCCCAGCAGGCCTCGAAAGTGGCGACAGTTTTACAGATCGCAGCCCCCCAGGGGTGGCGAGGTCTAATTTGAATATGCCCGTGGCGTCACTGTGCTGGGCCCCCCAGCAGGCCTCGAAAGTGGCGACAGTTTCACAGATCGCAGCCCCCCAGGGATGGCGAGGTCTAATTTGGGTCCGCGCGTGGCGTCACTGTGCTGGGCCCCCCAGCAGGCTTCGAAAGTGGCGACAGTTTCACAGATCGCAGCCCCCCATGGATGGCGAGGTCTAATTTGAATCCGCCCGTGGCGTCACTGTGCTGGGCTCCCAGCAGGCCTCGAAAGTGGCGACGATTTCACAGATCGCAGCCCCCCAGGGATGGCGAGGGGGGAAGAATCAAAAATAGTAAACTGGGGACTATCTTTGGAGCATTTTGGGCAATTTTGTAGTATTTTTTGGGGGATCTTTTTGGTTTTTCGTCCACTGCAGGGGGACAGGCCCGACCTAAGATTCGTTGGCGATCCGATCTGTTCCCGATCCGAGCCGGGCTCGCGGCTCGATCTGGCTCGGGCCCGCCTTCTACTCTGGTCCCTCCATCGGAGAGAGGAGAAGCGATACGAACACCACCAGGGGGCCCACCGCCAGCGAGGAGGCCCACGATGCCTCTCCGAGCTGGAAGCTGGGGATGTCTCGAGCGAGAGGGGGGGACCACACCGCCAGGGAGTTCCCCCTTGCCTCCTCGCATCTCCTCGCCCTGCTGGTGTTGCTGTCGCCTTCCCTTGCTCCTACTCCGAGGAGTCGGGGGCCTTCTTGCGGCAGCGGTCCGCGGACTCGGTGCCGCCGCCGGACGGCTTGCCTGCTCGCGCGCCCCGCTGCACGTCCTCGCCGGTGCTCCTGAAGAGTGGTGGCGCGGGGGACGGCGGCGGCAGGACCTGCAGTGGGAGGGTCCAGCGCACGCGGTCGGGGAGTTCGAGGTTCGCTTGCTGGGCGCTGTTGATCGTCCTGGGGCGCCCTCGTGGCCAGGGCCAGGGCCGGGTTTCGCCTCGAAGTTTTTTGGATGCTGGTCAGACAGGCTAAAACGACGCGAAGATCGGGACAACATCGGATCGGGATAACTCGAAATCTCTGAGAATCGGCGGGTTTGGAGGATGTATTGGGCGCCGCGGCCGCTCCAGAGCGTTCCGGAACGCTCTGAGAGCGCTCCGGAACGCTCTGGAGCGATTTATCCCGATCCTAGCACTGTTTTACAGACCCCGGGAGAGGTCCGGGGGCCGATGTTTGAACCCTGGCCACTGGAACGCACACCGCCGAGGCGCTGCAGGAAGGAGTCGTCCGAGTTCGGAAGGGGCGCGCTGCTCCTTGCGACCCAGACCTCCGACGAACCGATTTTTCCAACCAGCCTGTGGTGTTGGGTCCTAGTTGTGAAGAGGCAGCGCCCCGTGTTCCTTCATCCTTCCTCCTGCCCCCCCTCCCTCCTCCCATCGGTGCCTCTGCCCTCTGCGTGTCCACTACGGCACACCCCTCACACGCTTCGTGGCCCCACAGGGAGCTCCACCGAAAGTCCCAGTGGCACGTCACGAATGTGGTTCCCCGCCTAGTTCGACACATTCCTCACACGTTTCGTGGCACCACAGGGAGCTCTACCCAAGGCCTCAGCGGCAGGGTTCGCATGCTGTTCCCCGCCTATTTCGGCACACCTCTCACACGTTTCGTGACCCCACAGGGATCTCCACCGGAGGCCATAGAAGCAGGGTTCGCATGCGGTTCCCCGCCCATTTCGGTACACCCCTCACACGCTTCGTTGCCCCATAGGGAGCTGCGTGCGACTTGTAATTGATGCCAAGATCTCCGACGGTATGGTTCTTTCAGCCCGGGACTGTTTTCCTTCGATTTCCGCCTCGCGGCCCGTTCTCGGGCCCCGAGCCCACCAGAATCAGAGGGTGCAAATGGGTTTCCACCACAGGGTGTTGTCGATGGGTGCTATATGATCCATTCATGGCTTATGTTCCGTCCATTAACAGTCTCTGGTATGGTTGGCATCCGCTACTCGTGAGCAGATTGAGGCAGTTATGCGGCGCTCTCACGGTAACGCATCGCGCAGCAATCGTTGTTTGCCTTGCTACGTCGCGGGCCATCACCTACGGTGCATTGAAAGCTTGACGCACTGTTCCAAGATTGGGATGCACATTCCGTTTTGTCCCAGAATCTATGAAACCGCATTTTGCGTTGATTTCAAAATTTGCATTCGCCTTTGTGGTCTGTTACGCACAAAGGGTAGTTGAACCAGACATTGTGAATTACTGGCGCTATGCGTATTCCCACCAGCCCATCCAGACACGATCGGAGGGCCTCTTGAGGCCTCTTGGAGGCTATCTTGAGCCGTGTTCGGCCAGAGGCTGTGGGAGGCTATCCCGAGCCATGCTCGGTTCGGTTCCGACGTGCTCCTCCGAGGAGGGCGCACGGTTTTTAGTATGTCCTTCTGCGTAACCGCCCGAGGGTGCTGCCGAGGGCCCACTCCGACCTGCTGGAGGACCAGCACGCGGAGCTGATGGAGCGGCTGGGCCAGGCGTCGAGTAGAAGATCGAATGCGCAATCGACCTACACCACAATTTCCAAGTTCGCTGAGTCTACAGAAAATGCGCAGAAAGGTCCGTCGATCTACGAAGAATCTACGTATGCTCCGTGGACTCGACGAGAGAGGCAAAGTTGGGGTGCGTCGGTTCTGAAGTCGATGCAGTGGGGGTTGCCTCGGGAATCGAATCCTCTGCTCGAACATCGAATTTCCTTGGGGAAACGTTCTCTCGAAAATGGAAAGAAGGAGGAGGAGGAGGAGGAGAAGGAGGAGGAGGCGGGTGGAGGGAGGAGGGAGAAGGGAGGAGGGAGGAAGGGAGGAGGAGGAAGGAGGGAGGATGGAGGAGGGAGGAGGAGGAGGAGAGGGAGGAGGAGGTGAGGAGGGAGGAGGAGAGGAAGGAGGAGGAGGAGGAGGAGATGAGGAGGAAGCGAAGGAGAGAGGAGGGGAGGAGGAGGATGAGGATCGATGTTTTGGGGGTCGGCGATCACCCGGGTTATCGGGCTTGCCCCCCCCCTCCCCCCCCCCCAGGATAATCTAACCTTGCCGGTTGTGCAGGTCCGGGGGTGGGGGGGCGCGGGCATATGCAGGGCTGCCCACAGCGCGAGGGTTAGGTTATTGGCCGGCCCCTCCTCCTCCTCCTCCTCCTCCTCCTCCTCCTCCTCCTCCTCCTCCTCTCCTCCTCCTCCTCCTCCTTCCTCCCCCCCCCCCCTGATCACCCGGGTTGTCGCCGATTTTTAAAATCGGTTCCTGAGCGACGCAAAACACAAAACGGTGTCGTTTGCGCCGACGTTGGCGCGTCACCCGGGTTATCGGGCTTGCCCCCCCCCTCCCCCCCCCCAGGATAATCTAACCTTGCCGGTTGTGCAGGTCCGGGGGTGGGGGGGCGCGGGCATATGCAGGGCTGCCCACAGCGCGAGGGTTAGGTTATTGGCCGGCCCCCTCCTCTCCTCCTCCTCCTCCTCCTCCTCCTCCTCCCCTCCTCCTCCTTCCCCCCCCCCCTGATCACCCGGGTTGTCGCCGATTTTTAAAATCGGTTCCTGAGCGACGCAAAACACAAAACGGTGTCGTTTGCGCCGACGTTGGCGCGTAAGCGGCCCGCGCAAGGTCGCGCGTAAGCTGCCCTCGTCTCCAATGTGGCGTGCCGCGCGGGCGGCCCGCGCAAGCCACCGCGTAAGGTCGCTGCGTTATGTCGCGTAAGGTCCTTTTCTTGTCGTTGCTTATCTGGCTGGGATTTTGAGGTGTCTCAGCGCTGGTTTTGGCCAGCAGGAAGGAGGGGCATATTCGAGGTCCTCGGTTCCGAGAGGCTTTTCGTCTTTTTCGGCCTCCGGGGGCGTTTTCGGACCCGGGCACCGTGGGCGAACCGATTTCGAGCGGATTTGGCGAGATTCTCGATTGAGGGATCCCAGAGATCCAACGTATTGAAAGCATCAGGACGCAGGTCTTTCGCCGTTTCTGACCGCTGCAAGCCCTCGGCTGGCCCCGGGACGGTCCAACAACATCTCAGGACGAGAAGCCGTTCTCCTGGAGTGGCCCGAGATTTCTGGGGACCCTCCTGCCCTCCCCCATAACGTCATGTTCCCCCCCGCCCCCCCAGCGCGTCCCCGACGTTGCCGCAGTGCGTCCGGCACCACGGTCTCTCACGGTGGGAGGCGGGGGCGTTGCGCCATGCCCCCTCCCCGTCCCCCCCACCCTTCCCCCCGCAACAGCGCCCGCCGTCGCAGCAGATGTTTCCAATGCTCTCGCGGCGCCTCCCGAGGCGTCGGCGGTGCTCGCCCCAGGAATGGGACGGTCCGTCGTGGTGCGATCCCCAAAAAGGCTGACGAAAACGATGCGCTGTGCTGCGCTGGAGCGGGGCCCGGAGTCCAGGGGAGGTACGGTGCGTGGACGCCGTTCTCCCACCAGGCTTTTTGTGTGCGGAGGGCATATCCGTGTCTCCACGGCCTCGCGGGCCGCCACCCCGCGGACACGGTCAGACCCAGAGCGGACGCCCTGCGTTGCAAGTCGTGCCTGTCCCTCTAGAGGATCGCCGGGTCTGGCCGCCCACCACGCTTCGGCGCGGCACGCTGCTGGACCCGGAGGGATGGGCCCTATAGAAGGATGCGGTCGAGCACTTTTGGTGATAGCCTGCCGCGCCGCCGGTTCTGGCCCACCACGCTTCGGCGCGGCACGCTGGTGGGCCCGGAGGGATGGGCCCTATGAGGATGCTTCAGTCGGGGGTGGACAGACCTCCTACCCTGACACGTCGATTCAGGAATTGGCCGTTCTCGGTTGGCGAGGGGGGTCGCGGCCGTCATCTTCGCGGGTTCAGGTCCGCCGGATGCGGTCCCAGGCCGTTTTCACTAAAGGGAGGTTTACTAAAGGGAGGTTTGTCCACCGCCCCCCGTGAGGAGAAATATTCAAAAGCAGTCAAGAGGTAGTGTGGGACGATGTTTTGAGCATTTGTTTGACCATGCTGGGGTACTTTAGTTGACCATGTTTCATCGCTCGTCCAAAATCCTTCTATAGGAGGACAGGCCCGACTTGAGTCTTCCTGTTTTCTGTGCGGGGCCGGTGGAAGTCTTGACCCCAGACCTGCGACGTCCTGATTATTTCAGGACGGCGTCCCCGGAAGTCCAGACCCTTTCCCCAGGACCGGCTTTTCGTCCCGAGTCGTTTTTTGATGGTCCCGGGGACCGGCGAGGGCCCCCATGGGACCGAACATAGCGAAGAGCTTGCCGTCCTGACTTGTTTCACGACGCGATCCTGTCTGGCACCCTTTTCACGGGGCCGGTGTTTGATCCCGAGCTGCTCCTGTGGACGGTCCCGCAGGGCTTGAGGGCCCCCGGAGGGGCCGAAGAAGGCGGACCGCGCCCTGGGGCCCAGACTGCCCAGAATAATAATAATAATAATAATAATGATAATAATAATAATAATAATAATAATAATAATAATAATGATAATGATAATGATAATAATAAGAGGAGAAGGAGAAGGAGGAGGAGGAGGAGGAGGAGGAGGAGGAGGAGGAGGACGAGGAGGGAGGTGAAACGGGAGGAGGAGAGGAGGAGGAGGAGGGGGAGGAGGAGGAGGAGGAGGAGGAGGAGGAGGAGGAGATGCAGGAGGAGGAGGAGGAGGACGACGACGACGAGCAGTTAGGTTCCGTGGCCGCGGATACGTTCGCCGCTCCTGCAGAGGCCGGGGCGGCCGAGCCGAGCGGGCCGCGCTGCCGGGGCAGGCGCCCCCGGGTCTCGCCTCGGCTCGAGGCTCAACGATGCAGCAGCTCGAGGTTCGAGGTTCCAGGCTCGAGGTTTCGCTCCTGGGCGTTCCTGGTCGTCTTAAATCGGGCCTGTCCCCCTACAGGGGGAATTTTGACGAAAGATAAGAAATACCCCCAATATAGTCAAAAACATAGAGTCCCAAAAAAGTCAGGGGATTATTTTTTGAGTATTTTTTGACCTTCTTGGAGTACTTTTGGGGTATTTTTTATGTTTTATGTAGAAAATCCCCCTGGGGCTCAACTTCTAGGCCGCCTGGGTGGGGTCGGAGCAGGTGGGGTCGGAGAATCGCGCCGCATCGCGGGTGCATCGCCGATGCGGCTCAATGTGAAGCCCGATGTGCTTCCAGTCGACGTCGCCGATGCATCGCTTGACGTCGTCGATGCATCGCCGGCGCATCGCCGGCGCATCGCCGGTGCATCGCCGATGTATATCGGCGATGCGGCGCGATCTTAGTGGGCCCTGGAAACGACAGGGCCGTTTTTGTTACCGGTTCCGTTTTGCCGTTGTTGTACCGATTCCGCCGTCGCTGTTTTTTGACTGGTTCCGGCTCCGGTTCCAATCCTGGAGCCGTTTTTTTGCCGTTTCCGGTCGCCGTTTTTTTTGCCATTTCCACTTTCAAGGGACATTTTTTAGAAACGGTGAAAAAACGGCCCTGCCGTTCCCGGGGCCCACAAAGGGCGCGACCCTCCGACGACATCTACTCCGACCCCATCTGGGAGGCCTCCATCAACGGTTCAGCCATTCGGGGTTCGGGGCTCGGGGCTCTTGTGTGTCGCTCCGGGGCGTTTTTTCCCCATATCCTAAGATGGGGTTCTTGTTATTTCTTCGACGCCTCCTACTCCTCCTCCTTCCTCCTCCTCTTTTCTCCTCCCCTCCTGTCGGACATACTCAGACTTGCTCATACACAGACTTACTCATACTCAGACTTACTCATACTCAGACCTACTATATAAGACTTACTCACATCAGACATATCATATACAGACCCTTCACTCATACACAAGACTACTCATAACAGTATAGTATACCAAGAGTACCACATCACAGACATACTCATACAACGTTCTTACTCCTATCAGACACGCACGTCAGCTCACAGGGGTGGTTGCACGGGCTCGTTTCGGGCCATTTTGTGTGGGGATGTCCTAGGCGGGTTTGCCTGTTCTCTGTGCCCAACATCTTCGCTTTTCGGAGCAGATTTGGAGGATGTCTCGAGCGAGGCGCTCATTTCAGCACCCCTAAGGGGAGCCGCCAGGGGTGGTTGAACGGGCTCGTTCGCGGCCATTTTGTGGGGATGTCTCAGGCGGTTTGCCTGTTTCTGTGCCCAACATCCTTCGCTTTCGGAGCAGATTTGGAGGATGTCTCGAGCGAGGCGCTCATTTCAGCACCCCTAAGGGGAGCCGCCAGGGGTGGTTGCACGGGCTCGTTCGCGGCCATTTTGTGGGGATGTCTCAGGCGGTTTGCTTGTTTCTGTGCCCAACATCCTTCGCTTTCGGAGCAGTTTTGGAGGATGTCTCGAGCGAGGCGCTCATTTTCACCCCCCAGGTGGGCCAGATTTTGAGGATGTCTCGATCGGTTTGCTAGTTTTGGTGGCCAGGCTCGTGGGCGCAGATTCTTCTCAGGATGCCACAGGAGGCTCCAACAGGCTCCAGGAGGCTCCAGGAGACCACATGAGGTCCCAGGAGGCATCAGGAGGCCACAGAAAGACTCAAGAGGCAACAGGATGTCCCAAGAGGCTCCAGGAGGCCCCAGGAAGCTCCAGAAGGCTTCAGGAAACCACAGGAGACCCCAGGAGACAACAGGAAGCGCCAGGAGGCCTCGGAAGGCAACAGGAGGCCCCGAGAGGCCCCAGGAGCAGGAGGCCTCAGAAGGCAACAGGAGTGGCTCCAATCCCATGTGTTTTACGTATGATCCTATCGATTGGGCCTCACCTGGAGCACGATTCTTTGATGTTCTACGTATGTTTCTATAGATGGTCCTTCTCCTGTGTGCACAATCCTAAATGTTTTACTCATGTTCCTATGTATTGGGCCTCTCCTGGGGCACGAGTCCTTGGTGTTTTACGCGTGTTCCTATATATTGCCCTTCTCCTGTGGCTCTAATCCGCAATGTTTTATGTACGTCTGTTGCTATATATTGCGCCTCCCCTGGGGCACGAAACCTTCCTAGGAGGTCCCAGGAGGTCCCAAGAGGCTCCTGGAGACCCCAGGAAGCCCCAGTAGGTTTTAGGAGGGGGGGGGTGGGGGGGGGGGGGGGGTCCCCAGGCAGGTGAGAAGGCACCGAGGCTCATGCCACGAGATTGACGCTCGTTACTACTGTGGTTAGCTCTTTCACCACTCCAATTTCATTTCAGTTAGATTGATGTCCAGGACCGTCACAAATGAAGCCTGTTAATATTCTTGAAAGTTCTTGCGCCTAGACGTTTCACGGCGGACAGGTCATGCGGAATAGATGCAATTGGGGAGCTTTTAACTCTTTCTTTATTTTCTTTTTTCTCTATTTCTGTTACTTTTTTCGTCCGGGTAATTTCTTTTTATTTATTTATTTTTTTGTTTTTTTTTTTTATTTTCTTCTTCCTTTCCACGCAGTGAATAATTTTTCATCGTCCATGGGGCGCCCTCGTGGCCGCGGCAGGGTCCGCCTCGAGATTCTGGGAGGAGCACGAGGAGGAGGAGGAGGAGGAAGAGGAGGAGGAGGAGAAGGAGGAGGAGGAGGAGGAGGGATAAATGTTTCATGTTCAGGGGTTTGCTTCGGTTCGAGGCTCGGGGCTCGAGGTTCGCATGGCGCCTGAGGCACCTATCAGTGCAGAGGGATGGGTGACCAAAGACGCGCCCGAGCTTGGGTCCGCATGTGACCGAAATTGCGACCGAACCCGAAAGTCGCGGTGGTCTCGAACCAATCACATGTTGGCGCGTTCCTACAGTTGCGGTCGCCGGTTTCGGTCACACTCGAGCAGGGTTTCGGGCAGAACTTCGGTCACCACACCCCCCTGAAAGAGACGAGGCTGCGTGAAGTTTCGGGGTTCGGGTTCGGGGTTTGAGGTTTGGTTTCTAGACGTTTGGTTGTCCTGGGGCGCCCTCGTGGCCGCGGCTGGACCCGCTTCGAAGTTCTGGGCAGAACGCACCCCGGGAAAGGTTAGGATCTGAGAGGGTCGGAAGCACGCAGTCGAGATGTTGCAGTAAGAAACGGGCTGGGTTCGGAAGGGGCGCGCCGTTTCTTAACTCCCATACTTCCGACGATGTGTTCTTTTGTGATTCAAGCATTTTTTCTTGATTCGACCCTCGGGGGCTCGTCATCGGGCCCCGGGGCCGTCAAAGACGGATCTGGGACCAAAACCTCCCCCCAGGGAAGCGGCCGGAACCTCGAGGGCCGCGGGTTGCAGCCAGAAGACGGCTGCGAGGATCCAGGTTCGAGGTTCCAGGGTCGAGGCTCGAGGCTCGAGGCTCGGTCGCGGTGTTTGGGGTGTGCCTCAGCCCCCTCGTGGCCACGGCTGCGTTCCCCTCCGACGTTCGGGTCAGACCACGCCCCTGGAGCTTTGTGGGCCCCGGAAACGGCAGGGCCGTTTTTTCACCATTTCCGGAAAAATGTCCCTTCAAAATGGAAACGGCAAAAAAACGGCGACCGGAAGCGGCCAACAAACGGCTCCAGGATTGGAGCCCGAGCCGGAACCGGTACAAAAACGGCGACGGAACCGGTATCAAAAACGGCAGAACGGAACCGGTACAAAGACGGCGAAACGGAACCGGTAAAAAATCGGCCTGCAGTTTCCAGGGCCACTAAGCCCTGGAGAGGTCCGAGGGCCCAGTCTCTTGGTTCCTGGGCCCAGAAGCCCCTCCCGCGCCGTGGAGAGTTCTCGCGGCGGGCGGCCCGTCCTCGGCCTCCCATGGGGCCCGGGGCGGGGCCCGGAGGGATGGGCCCCATAGAAGGGTGCGGTCGAGCACGTGTGGACAGAGCCTGCCGCGCCGCCGGGCTGGCCTTCTGTCGGGCCTGTCCCCCTGCAGGGGGATTTCCGACGAAAAATAAAAATACCCCAGAAATAATAAAAAAATAGTCCATACATAGTCAGGGGATAATTTTTTGCGTATTTCTGTTGACCTTTTTGGGGCATTTTTTTGGGTATTTTTTTTTATGTTTCGTCGAAAATCCCCCTGTCGGGGGACACGCCCGACTTAAGTCTGGCCGCCCGGAGGCATGGGCCCTATGGAAGGATGCGGTCGAGCACGTTTGGTCATAGCCTGCCGCGCCGCCAGTGAGGGAGCCAGATGCGAACCCCAGCCTCCCCCTCAGAACTCGTAGGGGGTAGGGGTAGGGTTCGCATGTGGCCCCCTAGTGAGGATGCGGTCGAGCACGTTTGGTCATAGCCTGCCGCGCCGCCGGTTCTGGCCCACGACGCTTCGGCGCGGCAGGCTGGTGGGCCCAGAGGGATGGGCCCTATGAGGATGCTTCGGGGGTAGACAGACCTTCTACCCTGACGCGTCGATTAAGGAATTGGCCCTTTTCGGTTGGCGAGGGGTAGTTGCGGCCGTCATTTTTGGCGGGTCCAGGGCCGTCGGTTTCGGTCCCAGGCCGTTTTCACGAAGGGGAGGTCTGCTAAAGGGAGGCTTGTCCACCGCCGATATGAGGATGCGGTCGAGCACGTTTGGTTATAGCCTGCCGCGCCGGCGGCTCTGGCCCACCACGCCTCGGCGCGGCACGTTGCCCGCTTCCCGGCTCACAGCCCGGACCCCCTCGGGTGATGAGAGATCACCAGGGGATGCTCTTTGCTATGTTTTCGGCCTCTGGGGGCCCTTGCCGGTCCTCGAGACCGTGGAAAGACGGCTCAGGATGAAAAGCCAGTCCATGGGAATGGCCTCCTCCTCCTCCTCCTCCCCTCCTTTCAGGGCTTAGCGTCCCGAGTCTTTCCCGGCCTCCGCCCCGCCCCCGCACGCGGAGGAACGGCACGCTGTCAGCGCGCAGGAGGGGGAGGAGGAGGAGGAGGAGGAAGGGGGAGTGCATCGGAGGAAGAGCAGGAGAAACAGGAGGAGGAGGAAGAGGTTGGTGAGCAGGAGGAGGGGGAGGAAGGAGGAGAGGAAAGGAGGAGGAGGAGGACGAGGAGGAGGAGGAGGAAGAGGAGGAAAGTGAGGAGGAGGAGGAGGAGGAAGAAGGAGAGATCCGCGCGGGCCTTCGACAGTGTATTCTTGTGAATTCGTTTGCTCATTTTCGTAGGCATGGCGAGGATGTCGCCGTTCAGGAGACCCACAGGACTCATGATGCTGTGGGCAGGGGTACCAGCAGCGGCAGCCTGCCGGGGCCCCCCCGCGTCGGTGACGAGCCGTTCTACTCCGAGGATCAGGGGCAACCTTTGGGGGGGGGTCGAGGTTCGACCGTTGAAAGAAAACATTTGGCAGCAAACGCTTAGGAGCTACTTCGCATGACCCCCCTCCGCCCCCACGGCCTTAGTAACTACTGAGCAAACGCGTCCGGAAAAGCGGAGCCAGGAAAATCTTGAGCCCAACGTTTGGGACGCAGTACGTATTTGCCAATGTTACGGCCAGGGGACGGGGAAATTTGTTCCTTTCTAGTTCGGGTGGGGTTGTTGCAATTTATTATTTGGAGGTTCTGATCGTCCTGGGGGCGCCTTCGTGGCCACGGCTAGATCCGTTGGGCCGAACGCACCCCTGGAAAGGTCCAGGGCCGATGTCTTGGACCCCTGAACCAGGTTGCGGCCCTCGTTGGTCCTCGGCTGTTTTCCAGCCTCGGGATGCTCTCCAGCAGCTGCGTCTCGCCGAAGTCGTTCCTGGGGCCCCCGGATCGTCCCGAACGGCCACCGCATCCCGTGCCATGGCCCCGAAGCCACCGGCGACGGGGATAGGTGCAGGGGGCCCAGACCCCCGACGTAACGATTGTTGCATTGCGTCGACCCCCAGAGGTCCCGACCCTTTCCCCAGGACCGGCTTTGCATCCTGACTCGTTTTTTGACGCTCCCGAGGCCCGATGAGGGACCCCGTAGGCCGAAAATTGAGAAACATGTTCCTTCATGATTTTTGTCATTACTCGAGGGGGTCTGGGGGGGATGCATCGACCCCCAATCGCCCGCTCATCGCCGATAAGGGCTTGATAGCCCACTCCCCCTGAGCCGGCCCTCCTTGCCAGGCGGGGGCCGGAGGAGGAGGAGGAGGAGGAGGAGGAGGAGGAGGAGGAGGAGGAGGAGAAGGAGGAGGAGGAGGAGGCAGAGGAGCAGGGAGGAGGAGGAAGGAGGAGGAGGTGGAGAGGAAGGAGAGGAGGAAGGGAGGAGGAGGGAGGAGGAGGAGGAGAAGGGAGGAGGAGGAGGGAGGAGGAGGAAGGAGGAGGAACAAGGAGGAGGAAGGAGGAGGAGGAGGAGCCCCGGGAACGTTCCCGCTCGGAGGACAGGCAGCGCAAGCTCGCTGCTGAGATCGAGCACCTGAAGGTCCGCGATTCGCTCGGCAGCGGCAGCGCGAGAATGAGCAGCCTGCAGGCGTGCCGGCAGGACTCCACCCCGAGGGGGGTGCTCCGGCGCATCGTCGGGTCCAGCGCCTTCGAGCTCTTCTTCTGCATGGTCATCGTGGCCAACGCGGCCTGGATCTCGGATCGGTTCAATGATCATAAAAAAACATAGTCAGGGGATGATTTTCCAACGATGTTTGATCATTTGGGAGTGCGTTTTGACCATGTTTGTTTTCTCTTCCAAAATCCGCCTGTAGGGGGACATTCCCGACCTAAATCTCGGAGCCGAGGGCTGTGTTTGGAAACGGGGTGTTTTGACGACTTGTCGTTGCCCGTGTTTGTTCTGGCTCCGCGCTGCAGCGCGGAGGCGGAGCGAGGACAGAGCGAGGGAGAATGCAAACAGCATGAAACCGGAAAACAACATGCGGGTCGAGCCTTATGATGTTCCAACTTACTCTAGCCTTGATCACCCGAAAGAATTTCGAGCACCACGAAAGTACCAAAATTGGAGGGTTTGCACGTGTCGGGCCCTGGGAGACTCGCTCGACACTGTTTCGACACTCCTTCGACACTCTTTCGACCCTTTTCCGGGTGCTCGAAATCATTTCTCTGATGTGGTGCTCAAGGGCGGTGGGAGCGGCATAACATCTGGGTCGAGCCCTGTCTCGAAAAAGACAAGCATTGCGCATGCATGGAAAACGTTCTGGCGCGTTGCGCAGGCTTCTCTTGGGCCCGCGCTGGTCCCCCCCTCCCCGGCCGCTAGCGAGAGAGGGGCCCAGCACTGGCCAGGGAGCTGCTTTCGACGAGCAGCAAGACCCAGGAGGGAACAGAACCCAGGAGGAAGGAAAACGCACAGACACAATGAATCGCCGATTCCCCAGAACATCTGGGAAACTACGGGAAGTGGGGGGGGGAAGACAAAAACCCAGAACTTATGGAAAACAGAGCACGGGGAAACCTGTTACTTGTGTTTTTCTATTTGAAAAATCCAGGAGGGAAAAATCCAGGAGGGAAATCATACACACAAACTCACATAGACTGCCGACTCCCAGGGAGAGATGGGAGGCTGTCCGAAGTGTGGGGGGGGAAGACGAAGACCCAGAACACACGAAGCAACACACGGGGAGCCCTGGGACCTGGGACCTGTCTGTCTTTCTTTGTGCGCCCCGAGGCCCCTGCACAAAACCGCATGAGCATAAACCGTAGGATCAAGTCGGGCCTGGCCCCTCTACTGGAGGGATATTGAAAAGCAGTGCAGATTTTTTGTCAGGGGACGACTTGCTTTACTGTGCTAGGGTATTTTGGGGGGCATGTTTGGAGTATGTTCGACTTTTCGCCCCAAATCCCCCTCCAGGGGGACGGGCCCGACTGAACCTCTGGAGCTCCGCGCAGGGGAGGGAGGGAGGGAGGGAGGGAGGGAGGGAGGGAGGGAGGGAGGGTCGGCGCCGGACCCCTCTGGCGGCGCCTCGAGGCGCCGCTCCCGGGCGGCGCCGCCTCGCGCGCCCAGGGAGGGAGCGGCCCCCGCCGCCGCTCCGAGCAGTGCGCGCGGACAGCTTCGAGCGTTTTGTTGCTGGTGCAGCCGGAGCCTGTTGTCCCTAAGGGCTTGTCGACTTTTCGCCGATCGACTTGTGGGGAGCGAGCCAGAAAAATCCAGGTAAATGCAGATAAAGCAAGGCAAATGCAGAGAAATCCAGGGAAACCGAAACAAATCCGGGTAAATCCAAAGATCTCCGAGGAGAGGTGAAGCAACTCGCGGCCGCTCCAGCGCGAGTCGAAGGACGGCAGAAGTCGTTAAGCCTTTAACGATGTTGCTCACAGGCGGGAATGTCCCGTTGCGGGAGGAGTGCTCAAGAAAACAGTGAAGACAGAATCCGGGGACGATGTCCCGACGATGGCCGACCATTCCTGAGCCTCTGTGGGTTACCCCCGCCCGAACCCGCCTGGAGTAAGACATGCCCGACCTCAGGATGTTCCCACCCTCCTTAGCCTGAACCATCAGAAAGATTTCGATCACCAAGGAAGTACCGAAACTGGCGGTTTCGTGTGTCGCGCCCTGGGAGGCGATACTCGTTCGATACTGTTTCGATATTATTCTGGCTGCTTGGAACTATTTCTGGGCTGTGGTCCTTCAGTGCGATGGGAGCAACATAAAGCCGATCTCACGTTTGTGTTCATGCAGCCTGTTGTTCCTCCAGGATCGGCTTGGAGGAGGAGGAGGAGGAGGAGGAAGAGGAGGAGGAGGAAGAGGAGGAGGAAGAGGAGGACAAAAGAAGGAGGAGTAGAAGGAGGAAGAGGAGGAGGACGAGGAGGAGGGAGGAGAAAGAGGAGGAGGAGGAGGACGAGGAGGAGGAGGAGGAGGAGGAGGAGGAGGAGGAGAAGGAGGAGGAGGAGGATGAGGAGGAGGAGAAGGAGGAGGAGGAGGAGGAGGAGGAGGAGTTGATGCAGCCTGTTGTTCCTCCAGGATCGGCCTCGAGGTTAACTACCAGGCGGGCGTGCAAGAGGGGCAGCGCTGCCGCAGGTGCCAGAGTCAGGCCTTCCTGGCCGTCGGCCACGCGTTCACCGCCCTCTTCGCTGTGGAGCTGTCGATCCGCCTGGGCGCGGAGGGTCTGCGCTTCTTCCACGGAAGGATCGAACTAGGCACAAAACGCCATGAACATAAGCCTTTACAGATCCGCGCGGATTTCTTGGATCCGCGGTGGCCCCCCCGGCGGCGCCTCCAGCCCCCGCGCGCTCCGCGCGCCAGGGAGGGGGCTTCAGCGCAGATCCAAGAAATCCGTGCGGAGCGTCAAAAGTTTCTGTTTATGACGTTTTTTTGCTTCTGGAGGAGCAGCAACGCATTCTGGAACTACTTCGACACCGCCATCGTGGCGATCAGCCTCTTCGAGGTCTTTCTGGAGGTCGCGTCACTCCTCGACGGCGGCGGTACCGACTGGGCCAACCTCCGCGTCCTGCGCATCATGCGCATCACCCGTCTGCTCAGGGTGATCAGGGTGACGCGGATCTTCCGTTACGTGAGGGCCTTGCGCACGCTCGTCTACTCCATCGCTTGCACGCTGAAGAGCTTGTTCTGGGCGAGCGTCTTGCTGATGCTGATCATGTACGTGTTCGGCATCCTGTTCACGTCGGCAGCCTCCGCCAGTGCCAGCAGCCTGGAGGAACGCGGCCTGCTCGAACAGGACGTGCTGGTCCTGGAGAGATACTGGAGCTCGGTGGGCACCTCGATGTTCACTCTGTTCAAGGCCATGACCAGCGGGGTCGCCTGGGACGAGGTCGTGCGCCCTCTCGGGCAGATACACTGGTTCTGGCCGATGCTCTTCACTGCGTTCATCGCGTTCAGCGTGTTCGCCGTCTTGAATGTCATCTGGCTGCCTAGGGCAAGTCCCGCCGCCTTGGCGGTCCAGCTTTCAGGGTGTTGGCCGTTCGAGAGGGCCACGGGAGGCCGTTACTTGTGATATCGGGCCTCTTGAAGGCCTTGGGGGCCTGTTGGGTGCCTCTTGGAGTCCTGCTGGGGCCTCTTGGGGCGTCTTCAGGGCGTCTTGGAGGCTTTTGTGTTCTCCTTGGGCTGTCTGAGGGCGCTCTTGGGCCGTCTGGGCGCTTTCGGAGTCCGTTTTGGGGGTTCTACGGGTCATCTTGGGGCCCCCTTGGGGACGTTGAGGACAGTACTCGTCGAAGGGAGTGAGGGCCCCCTTGGACCGATTTGGGATTGTCTTGAGCCGCTCTTGAGCTACCTTGGAATCCTCTTTGGCAGTCTTGGGACCCTGTTCAGGCCCGCCCGGGGCATGTTGAGGCCACCTTGGAGGCTTTCCGGGCCGTCTTGAGTGACGGAAGCCAGAAACGGTGAGACTGCGAACGCCCATCAAACGCCGACGGGAAATCCACGCTTCTTGTCTTGTCGGGCCTTGCTGGAGAGCCAGTAGGCCCTGTTGGGATGTCTTGATGGCCTCGTTGGCCGTCGTGATGCCGTGTTGGAGCCATACAGTCGGGCCGCTGAAGAAGGAATCCTTACTTTTCAAAAGGGGCTCGGTCGATTCTTCGGTTTGCATGCATTCCGCTTTTGTTTAGGCGGCGAGCCCCCCCCCGGTGCTCCTTCGGGCGTCCTGGGGGCCTGGGGGCAGAGTGCGCTCGACTTCGAGGCACGGAGGCAGGTCAGCGGCTCGACCGTCTCCTCCTCCTCCTCCTCCTCCTCCTCCTCCTCCTCCTTTCAGAACCCTTTCCGTGAGGGCTCTCATCCTCCTCCTCCTCCTTCTCCTCCTCTCTTCTCCTCCGCCTCCTCCTCCTCCTTCTCCTCCTCTCTTCTCCTCCTCCTCCTCCTCCTCCTGCTCCTCCTCCTCCTCCGCCTCCTCCTCCTCCTCGCGCAGGGCGGGCGAGGCAGGTCCGCGGCTCGACGGTGCCCCTCGGTCGTTGCAAGGTAAGGTCTTTCGGGGCTCCCAGATCCCAGCATGTACTCTGAGCGCCTTCTCAGGGGAACAAACAAGTGACATAAGCATAAAAACTCGGAGCTCCGCGCGGATTTCTCGGATCGGCGCTGGGGCCCCCCCGGCGGCGCCTCCGGCGCCGCCCCTGGCGCGCTCCGCGCGCCAGGGAGGGGGGTCCAGCGCCGATCCGAGAAATCCGCGCGGACCTCCGAGTTTTTATGTTTATGTCACTTTTGTTCCCCTATTCCTGCTGCCACGATCGAGTGGCTTCACCTCTTCCGTCCTCCCAAGGCGGCGGACGGGACCCGATCTGCTTTCAACGCCTCCCTGCTTCATATTTCTGCCTGCTTCTCCACGCCGACGTCGCGGATGTATCGCCGACGCCACGTCGCCAGTGTATGGGCGATGCATCGGCGACGCATCGCCGATGTATCGGCGATGCGGCGAGATCCTCCGACCCCATCTGCTCGAACCCCATCTAGGAAGCCTCGAATGTGGGTCGGCGGCCCGACTGTATTGGTGCCGGGGGTGGACAGAACCCCTACCCTGACACGTCGACTAGTGAATTCTCCGTGTTCTGCTCTTGAGAGGGCGCCGCGGCCGTCGTTTTCCAGGCCTGCGCCCGCCAGGTTTGGGCCCGAGGTCGTTTTCACGAAACCACGTTATGCTAAAGTCAAGTCGGGCGTGTCCCTCTACGGGGGGGATATTCCACAGTAGTCAAAAAACGTAGTCTGGGGGCGATGTTTTCACCTTTTCTTGACTATGTGGGTTTTGTTGTTTGAGTTTTTTTATTTACTATATTAATAATATTATCAATACTATTACTACTACTACTACTACTACTACTGCTACTACTACTACTACTACTACTACTACTACTACTA